CATGCCTGATCCCCTTTGTAGCAAAAAAAATTCTGATCACGATACTCGCTCTCATTGTCTGACTTGTGACACTTCAGCTTCAAGTCTGCCTTATTTTCCAATATAGTCTTCTACTTTTTAAACATTTCAAATATGCTATATTTTTATTTTAAGAAGTAAAATCATACATTTTTGGTTTGATAGTCAATAAACATGACAAAGTAGTGGAAAATTTTAATGAACTGAACTGAAGTAGGACCTCATACATGAATATGCACTGACTCCAATTTCTTTGATTTCTCCACTGTTAGATTAAAAAAGTTTCTTCTGCTTGCCATAAATATAATCTTCACAGAAATTCAAATCTACATATTTCAAATCCAGAAGCTTATTATTTGAAAATAGCAAATTCATACATTTCTTGCTCATATGGCTTAGTCTGCGGTGTTATAGACTTGTATTCACCTTGGTTCCAGTCACATCAATGAAATTCATCTTCTCATTGATCAGCTAAATAGTGTCTCCAATCTTGCTCTAAGCATTACCATTGCTTCCACGAGTCACATGTGAAAGTAGTCAAGAACTATGACTTTGTTAATTGACTCACAAAGATGAAATTTTTGCTTTAAGAAGTAAACACATACCTTTCTTGTGTGATCCCCAATAAATGTGACATAGTAATGAAAATTTTCAATTAACCGAACTAGAGCAGGACCACGTACATTAGTATACACGAACTTCAATTTCTTGACTTCACCACCGACTCACTTTTAGATTAATAAACTTTCTTCTACTTGTTATATATATAATCTTCATAGAAGATCAAATCTGCAAATTTCAAATCCTGAAGATTATTCTTTGAAATTAGGGTACAATTCTCACTCATATGACCAACCGTGCAGTCTCATAAACCAACATTCATCTTGGTTCCAGTCGTAGCAATGAAATATGTCATCTCATTGATCAGGTAAAGAGTGTTTTCAATGTTGCCCCGAGCCATCATCATTTCCCCCTGATAACCTTCCACGAGTCATCTGTCAAAGTTATCATGAACTCTGACTGTTGGCTCACAGAACTGAGATTTCTCTTCAAACTTGAAACATATATAACTTCAATAAACTTCCATATTATTTCATGTGACAACTTGATATTCTCATCACCCTTTTCTGCAATATTGCAAGCTTTATTGTCTCCCAGATAAATCTCACTAAAATTACTCTGAGTGTAATTTCTAGACACCTCTTTGTTGGGTCATGCATGAAAATAAGAGTCTGCATCTATTATCCAAGAATCAGTACTGACTAGGGATGACACTATGGATTCACCTTTGATTTCGCCAGTGGTGACGTTTGTAGAGAGATTCATTTTCATTTCTCTTCCACCAGTTTTCCTTTGAGCTTTATAGTTCTTGAAATATAATTTATTTCCGCAGTTTCAGCATTCTCCTTTGTAATTTCCTCTACTTGAACTGGACTCTCCTCTTCTGTCTTTGCATGTATTCATGTGCATTTTCCTTCCTCTATTTTTAGCATGCAACACAGAACCTGAAGATTTATCATTCGTTGTATTTCTGCAAACTTTCCAATCAACATGAACCTCACGATGTCATAGAAGTTCTACTTCGTATTTCCTAAAGAGTTAATGCCGTGACCAATCCATTTCAGTTGTCTAACAATGAAGACAGTGTCAACAGTGTCATGACTTTATCATCAAATTTTATTTTCACGGAACACAACTGACTTGTTACAATGTTGAAATTGTTCATATGTTCTGTCATTGTATTATCTTCCACCATTTTCATATTGAATAACATCTTCTTCAGAAAAATCTTATTTAAAATAGAACGTTTTCCATACATCTTTGACAGTGCCGCTATGAGATCTACCATGATTTTTTCTTTCGCTATATTGAATGCAACAGAAGAGGAAAATAAAAAATGGATCAAATCTAGGGTTATTCGATCAAGCATTTTCCATTCCTTCATAGTCATAGACTTAGGCTTCTTGTTAATTTCTTGTAATGGTAGATATAGTTTTTTCTGATACAGTAAAGCCTCCATTTACATTCTCCAAAACGCAAAATTCAATCCATTGAACTTCATTTTGTGCCTCGCTTTGTCGGTCGTTACTCTCACTTGAATCAAATAATCCTCACTCTGATACCACTTTTTTTTATGAAACTATAATATATTAAAAAAAAAATTAGGATGAGAATGTTGGGATGGATTATGAGCATTTAGGGCTTCGATCAATTAGAAATCAAGACCACTCCGCAGAATAAAATTGCAAGAAATTTTTAAAAATTCAGAATAAAATAAATTGAATAGATACACAACAAAAAGGTCCCACAAAAAACACATCAGAATTTACAAGGAAGAGTTCGAGAACTGAAAAAAAACCATGGAGCCTCACCACAAAGAAATCCTCACTATAAAAAAAAAATATACATAAATACTGACTCAAATCTTCTCTCTACAATCAATAGAACTTACTGGATTTTAATCCAACCCTTATTTTCGATCTTGCAAAAGAAATTGCATGCAGAAATTCTCCTCGACTCTTCTCCGCTTCACACAAGCTTTATAAAGAATACACTGGACTTAAGAACCCCTTTTGTTGTTTGAAATATCTAACTTAAGAAAAACCAAACAAAACAACCATCCTGCGGCGTGGTCATGCCCAAATATGGCATAATTATTCCACACACTCAGAAAAAAATCAGACGAACGAACGATCCTCTACAGCGTGACTACGCCCATTTTGGGCGTGGCTACACCAAGCCCTAGGCGCTGGTGTTTGTCGTTGTGTGCTCCCGGGTGCTTCTTCAGGCTCCATTTCTCAACAAGATGGGGACCCCACATGTCTCAAGAATCGTTTTGGTCTCACATCAGAAAGAATAAGGTATTATAATCTTACTATGAGAAAAACTTTATAAATGCCAATGGTAAGCGTCCTTAATCTAATAAAAAAAATGACCGACTGAACAAAATCAGATGAGGTTTAGTAAAAATAAATATTTTTTTTAATTGAATAATAATAATATAATTAATCACATTTTTTAGTCTTAAAAAATGAGAGAATTAAATTCGAGCTGAGTCGAACACAAGCTTAATTTGAATAAATAAAATTTTAATCGAATCAACCATGGATAGGTTTTATACGAGCCATTTTGAACACGAGGCGAACAAAAACAAAAAAAAATAAATGAGTCGAACACAATCAAGATTTGAGCTCGCTTGAACTCGGCTCATTTACATGCCTACTATTAGAATCAACCCCATCTTCCATTCAAGGACAAAAAATATTTGATATGCCGCCACTTTATTCGGAACTGCATTGGATCTCAAGAATTCTTGGAATAAAACTGCAGCCGTATGCTGCTACAACATAACCTCAACCACTACTCCGTTACAGCATGATCTCTCATTTATCTATAGCTGAATACAACATCTCAATTCTTCATTTAAATAACTCGCTGTAATAGACTGGAATGTAATGGAAAATGAATTTCTACGCTATGCCCCTCTCCGCCCTTTTCTTTTTTATTATTTATGTCCTATCATTTCGTCATGGAGATTGGAGAATTTTACTAAACCGCTCAAATATATGTTTGTACTTGTATCTGTCATTGTTGCAATTATTCTCATCTTTGCATTTTGCTTGTCTCTATTATCCTGGAAAATTCTTGTGGAACAATGAACAAAGGTTCCATTGGACAAATATGTAAACAAATTTCCTCCTTGTGAGTTTGTTTTGTACAAACTTGTCATTTAACATTATAAACTAGTATAATGAAGCCATAATTGAGCCAAATATTGAAGTTGCTCATCAAATGCACCACCGGACCACTTTTCTACTTGCTAGCTAGTTCTTCCTCATCCCTTCTCTTTTCTTCCATCATCCCCAGCCCATCTCTCAACCTCGTCTTCCTTGTTCCATTTTATGTTAGAGTTACAACTTTATAATCATAGATAAAAGTCTCCTTCTCTAGTGACGCCATAGATCAGACCGAGGTTCCTTTTTTTTTTCAAGTTTAGATCTTGGTATGACAGTTCTTGCAACTGTAGCGCTTCATAAAAAGAGTGATATTCTGACTTTGAGTGGATTTTTTTCCGTATGCTAGAAATGAAAAGTTCAATTCATATCTGGAGTTATCAGTTTCTTTTTTTCCCATGTTTTTTCATATTTTTTAGAGAAATCAAAACTATTGAATGGGTGTACCGACCCAAAATAACAGTGAAGTGATCCACCATATCGCAGTAACTGCTGCATATGTATGTAAATAAAGAACCCAATTAATATGGGGCTTGATACTTCTCATTGGAACTTGGGATCAATCATAATGGCTGGCCCAAGTCCATGCCAAATAATATAAACCAACATTGCATTAAGAAATCCAACTAAAAAATTCAAAATTGAAATTTTAAATTAATAAACTTTAGTGATTATGCTTATGATTGAACTATAGTTCTATTAAATATATATTACTCATATTCCAGAAGCACATCATAATTGTAATTCAATGCGGCTATTCCTTTGGATTTGTATTTACATACATTAGATCAAATTCCTATGTATTTTGGTATCTAATATCTAAATTTTAGTTTGTACACTTATACCACCCAAATATTTCATATCACATAAAAAGTACAATCATTTTTAACTTTTAAAAAGTGAAATATACTTTCACCATACATTTTCGTGCATAGTTAAGATGAGATGTATGTAAAGATTTAAGTTTACATAAGCGTTGGTATGTAGGTAAATCTTCCAAAAAAAAAAAAAAAAAAATTCATGGGGTTTGTTTCTCCGTACTCTTCTTGCTGCGGCCATGTGGATCTTGTTTGTTGGATTTTGCGCAGTACTGTCCCTTCTTTTTTCCTTTTGTATTGACAGTCTGCATAATGGAGACTAATAGCCTTTACGCTACTGCTCTTTTTATTTGAAGTATAAACTGACAGGACTTTTACAAGTGTATCCTGTACTTATATTGACTGTAGCCTGGTTCTTTCTTCTTTTCAGCTTTCCTGGATTTCTGAAACAAGCTGTTGCACTTCCTTTAAAGTGGAGTTATTGATGTCTACTGCTTGGCATATGATGTTCACTGAAGCGTGAAAGCATTTTTATTTTATTTTATTTTTACGTACCTAGCACATAATTGTTGCGTCTAACACCCAAAGTTTGATATTTACCAATATAACAATTTGTTGTCATAAACCTATGCATGGAAACATATATTTTACTTTTAAAAACTGATAATGTGCTCTTTTTGATGTGATATTAAAGATTTGAGTGCCCTGTGTAAATATGAAATTTTAGCTTTGAGATGTGTAAATACATTAGAATTGTGTGCTATGTAGTAAATGCCTCTTTTTTTGTTTGCTTAAATTATTAGTATTCAATGAATACAACTTCACACAACCTCCTTTTCTTTTAGCCATTTAAACTCGATTTCTCATTTTTATCTTCCTCATTATAAGCACTATGTGATGCATTATACTGTCGATTAAAGCAGACAATTTTTTGATAAAATCATGTTAAATTAGCTTCTAAAACTCTGTAAGAGATGTGATTATTTTTTCAAAAAACTGTTGGAACCATTATTGTGAGATATACTATGAATTTCTTGTAATTGTCATATAATATCCAAATCTTAATCAGCCGTACAACCAACCAACCAACATATAGACTGCAATAAGAGCATGCAGTTATATGAAGATCAAGCTTCCTAGTCATCCCTATTAATTTTCCTTCATCAGTGGCACATAAGAGTAGAAGATAACACACCAAGCCAAAAATATATCAACCAAAAGGAAAATTGTAGGACAAACAAGGATACTTTTAGATACATCTATAGATGAAGAGAAGTATCAACATCCCCTTCACCGTAACCGAGAGGCTGCATGGAGAGGGAGGCTGCAAAATTCTGAATTTCGTTATGCTCGTCATGCGATCTTGATGGACTGCCGCTCAGTGGTCTTGATGGATGGATTAGATCCGGGTGGATGAACCACTTTGATGTGGCTGGCGGCGGCTGCTGCTGCTGTTGTTCATAACAGGCACTGGGACTCCTTCCCGCATCAGCTAATGCTCGAATTTGCTCCCTTTCCTCTCTCAACTCCTTGACTCTCTCAAGCTGCCTGAATCTCTCTTGCAGGAGCGCAATGGAGGAGTGGTGAACTGCAGCCTCACCGTTCTTCTTCCCCATCGGAAACTGGTGAGAATTGAACTGTATATTCTGGGTTTACAGGAGACTCAGTCCTTCTTTCCAAGCTGAAATATTTATATCAAGTATTGTCTTCTTGCATTTATATTATATGATTATAAGCTGCATTAATTCATCAACGATGATGTGAAAGGTAGAAGGGAATCAGAAGAGTGTGTGTAAAAGTCCAAGAGAGTAATGGCTTTTACAAGCCATCTAAGGAGATGGGTTGGTGGGTGGACTTTTATTTAAGGGAAGAAGATTTGAGGGGAAGGATTTAAAAGTCCAAAAGGGGGTTTGTAGCTTAGTGTTTGGATGAGAGCTGGAGGGGAATAAATGGTTGTGTGATAGTTTTTGTCGCCTGGCTCTTTGGTTTTGAGGAGATGAAGTGCTTTTATTGCTTCTTATGAGCATTGTCCCATTTTTCTTTCATTCTTCTTTTTGTTGGTTCATGCTTTTAATATTTCTGCTTTTTTTTGAAAAATAAAATTAATTTTATTATTATTATTGATATATGGTGAGGTGTTTATTGGGGTTTAGTTAGATAATATTTGGTTGAGATTAATTGGTTGCTGAGATCTTTGCTAGATATTGGTTTCAGAGTTTTTGGTTTTATTCCTATCATGCCTTGATGGGCCCATTTTTTGGTTTGGTTTTATTACTATAATGGTTAGATGGGCCCATTCTTTTTTTTTTTGGGGGGGGGATTAGATGTGTTGAAGGGAAAGAATGACTTGGGATTCAAAAAATCTCTAAACATTCTAATTAAATTTTGGTTAATTTACATTCATGGCACACAATTTGTATGTATTTACATATCTCACACCTATTTACACATAATATTTTGGTGTCATAAACTCGTGCATGAAACTATCTATTTCATTTTTAGAAATATAGTAATTGTGGCATTTCTTATGTTATCTTACGATTTGAGTGATATGCATATCCATATGAATGCTTAGGTGATAGATATGTAAATATATAAGAATTGTGTGATATGAACGTAAAACCCCTTTAATTTTTTTTAAAATTATAAATTAAAATTTAGTTTAAATTTTGATTGATTTCTTATATATTATGCTCACCCTAAGATAAGTTTAATAATTTTGGAACACATCATAGTCAAAATGTGATCGATATTCTTGTCATTTTTTATATATTTTTTTAAATAAAATAACTTTGATGTAACTTCATGTTTTAATATTATTAGTCTTATTTTTTTTTTCTTGATTCTTAAAGGCATTTAATTTTTCTTTTGTCGTTTAGCTATTTGGATGGAATGGCATGCGCTTCTCCAAACTCTTTTATTCCATGGCCTGTTTCCTAAATTGATACCCTATGGCCCACCCCCACTTTGGAGCCCATAATAATGAGGCCTATTGGATCATTTTTAGACCTCATTAATACAACCGTGGATAAGTTGAATGCTTGCTTATAATCAATGCTCATAAATAATGCCGTACTATATTTGAAATGAAAAAAAAATAAAATAAAAACTTAGAATTTATGTTCGTGATTGTTTTTAAAATCATTAGATAACTTCGAGATGGATACATTATGAATTGTGATTGATTTTTTTTTATATATTACACATTTTAAAATAAATATAGTGATTTTAAGGCCATCTTGATCCTACGAAGTGCATTTATTTGGGGCATGTGCATGCATGACACACTCTAATGTATGTAAAACCAAACATACAAACTCTATTTTCACATGCTTAATATGACATCAAGAATATTATTTTTACTTGGTTTTTTAAAAATAAATACTAAATTTATGATTCGATAGTGTTATAAATATAAATATACAAGTTTGAGTATTAGATAATATTGTGTGGAAAGATTCACGACAGTAAAGGGAAAACTTAATGTCTTAGCGGTGTAGAAAGGTTCAACACATAGATAATATAGAAATATCAGAAGATGAAAGAAGATTTTTTACATTGAAAAATTTAGAAATAAAAAAAAAAAAATCAATAAGCTTATCACAATCAAAGTAATTCACTATAAGTGTGTAATTATAATTATATACACTTGTCCGACAATTAGAAAAGAATGATTACAACACTACACTAAGCATAACACTTATATATGTATAGAGTACACAAAACGTCAGAAGTCTGAAAAGAGCCGTTGTGTTCTGAGTACGATGGTTGTTGTCACTTGAAGTTATCAACAGATTAGAAATGTGGTATTATACATTATATTATATTTGGGGTATTTCGTTACTACGTATTTAAAATATTTTGATACATTATTTGGGGATATGTTGATACTCAATAACAACGAGTAGGGGGTAGTTAATTGTGGTTGACAGTGATCGACGGTTACAGAGGCTGAAAGTTGTCATTGGGCCTTCAATATTGAACATTAGTGAAATTTGACTTCCCTCAAGCTAATAGAGAGAGTCTATTTATAGCATCTAGGAGATGTGCACTTGGGTCATTTAGAGAATAAATCTCGTAATCATCTGGTCGGACGACCCCTATCGATCTCCCTTGATCATACAATATTTGTTAATGATTTGAGTACCTTAATGATTCATATTTATGGGAGCTTAGGCTCGTTGGATTCTTCTGGAAGCGACTCTCGATTTGAATATAAATATGTAAAATTTAAATATGTCAATTCAATTAAAGATTCAAAATCTAACAAGGGTTTTAATGGCTTGATTCAAGCTTGATCGGACTTGGATTGAACCAATTTTGGTATCATTAGGTTATTCTTGTTGAAATAGTCAGTTTGATTATAAACTTTGAATAATCTTGAATTTGAATATGGAGTAATTTTGGCTAAATAAGACTTCGAGATTCATGCCAAATAATACAAATTTGCCATCATTTTTCTTTTATTTTCAGATATTGGTGTGCGACTGTGAAAGTATCCGCCATTATTTTAGATCAAAGAAACAAAAAACATGTACACTGAATTATAATTATAAATTTCTGATACTGATGCTTTGTGGAGTTTCGAAAATGGTAAAATTGAGTCCAGGATGTCGAAATATGGCGAAGTAAACACTTCAAAAAAAGATATTGGATCATATCATTGTTGGTAGTGCTGGTGGCGGCTAGACTTTTGGCGGGCAGGCATGCATACTCTACATGCACTTGTGTGCAAGCAAATATGCAAAAATATGTGTTAAAGATAAAAAGGGGTCTACATGCAAGCTTGGATGCAAACTGGGATGCAGCGGAGTGGCATCGAGGGATGAGAGGATAAGTGGACTTGGCGTCGTGGGCGTGCATGTTTGCATGCATGCGGAATGCAGGCAATCGAGAGGTATCGATTATGGGAGCGAGGCATCCGCGAAGCAACAAGCACAAATTCTTCAGCTCTCGACCTTGCAAAGAGATAAAAAATCATAATGGTAGATAATTCAGTCTTTATATTATGCTGGTTAATTTCCAAAACTAATAAATGCTTTTGTACTAGCATTATTCACCCATTTATACTCACCCAGAAGATATTTAATCTTCGCAAAATCTGTGTTCCACGCCTTTAAGGAAACAATCCTTAGAATTCTTATACTTTCTCTGATTTTCGGAGGGTCGAAATATTGGCATCTCGAAGGACAACAAATATCCCCCATAAGGCATAGCAATAGGCTTTAATGTTGCGCAACAACAACATAGAAGGAAAGGCACAACAACAGGCTAAAAAATGACTCCAATAAGACAACAACGCGGAAGAAAAGAAACAACAATAAACCAGAAAGAGACTTCGAGCACAACAATAGAGCAGAAAAAAAGCCAACAGCAGAACATGAAAGAGCTCCGAGTGCAACAATAGATAAGGGGAAAAAGGCACAACAACATGCCAGAAAGAGATTTCGAGCACAATAGCAAAACAAAGACACAACAACAGGCTAGAAAATGACTCCAAGCACAACAACAATGCAGAATAAAAATGAACAAAAATCCAGAAAGAGACTCCGAACGCAATAACAACACTATAGAAAAGACATAACATCAAACCAGAAAATAATTTCAAGCGCAACAACACAAGAAAAAATAACAATAGACTAGAAATGAGGAATAACATCAGGCCAAGTGACACTTTAGCATGAGAAAGGGTAATGCTACATTTCCCCTCCTTATTGAGCCTTTTTATAAGCCGAAAATGGAGTAAAAGGAAGCCAAATAAAAGAAAATCAAAATAACACGAATATTTTTGGGTTTGCAACTCTGCGGGTGCACACATGTGCACAAATTCACCCATTTATTTATGCATAGAAATGCATATCTCGCGCTCCGCGTGAGAATAATACGTGGAATCGCTCAACTAGATACAACCCACGAAAATACCTGCACTATCCCATGTCCTCAGTTCGACTGGACCCAGTCAGCCCACTCCAAGGCATGTGCTATTCTGAAAAGATGAGAAAGTTTGATAATCCTTGGATTTGCTATAAATTGCTCCACAATGATTCTACCAATTTCATCGAAATTATTAATAGTTTCTTTTGGGAGTGAATGAACAAGTATGCGTCTGAACATTATGAGTGATAGGAAAAACAAGATAGAATGCATCAACGGCTCGCTTATTTACACGGTGGTTATATAATAATTAATATGTTTATATGGGTCAGATGTCCCATCATAAGAGTCAATGCTCGGAAGTTCGAATCCTACTGCAATGGGGTGTAGAAGGATCATATCTGCCAAATGCATGCTTGAAAACTGCGATGAGTAAGAAAATGACATTTTTTCTCTTAAAAAGAGCTCTTGAATCATATGTCGTTGCTTTTCATGGATTACACATTGTGTTTGAGATAAGTTCTCCAAGAGTGTTTAAGGGTTGCAATTTGGTCCCAGTTGCACAAAATGGATGAATGAAATTAGCAATATCTAAAAAGAGTCCTCCATTCTTTGCATGCAGACCTCGAAGGGCAAAGAAGATACATATTCACCAACATGGTGATGTGTATTGTTAAGTAATGAAGTAGAGGCTTGACTTCATGGACTTTGAGACTGTATCGTGGAATGGTAAGTGTTAGAACAAGAAGCTTTTGTATTGTATTTGTTAGCCATTGAGGAAGTGTAGTCTTCTACCAATGGGACTTCATTTCTCACAAAAGTGTGTAATTACAAACAATTGAAAAAGAAGGGTTACAATGTCACATCAAATACAATACTTGTCCGTGCACAATTTACGAAGAACTTATGAGTCCAAAGAAAATCATATTATGAGTCCGATGGTTTTTAATTGCAAGTGGAATTTATTATCAAATCTATAATACGGCTTAATACATTGCACTGTTTTTGAAATATTTTGTTACACCACATTTAAAATATTTCATTAATGAATATTTGAGGATACATTGTTACACAACATAGTTCATTGATGATGGCGGGTAACGGGCGGCTGATGGTGTTCGATGGTGGCCAACAGGCAGTGGTCGACTGTGGTTGAAGGTGGAGGCTGGAAGTTATTGTCGCGTCTTTAGTCCAGAACAACAATAAAATTTGACCTATTTTTCTATTACCCTCAAGTGAAAAGAGAGGTCTATTTATAGCTCCAAGGTGAGGGGCATTTTGATTATTTGACAAATAACTTTCACAACCACCTGGTCGGATGACCCATATTGATTCTCTTTGATCATATGAAAATTTTTAATGATTTTAGAGCCTGAATGATCTCAAAATTAAACAATCCCAGGCTCGTTGTATTCCTCTCATTTAGACGCTTGATTTGAAGTTAAACATGTAAATTTTGAAGTTTATGTGATTATCCAATTAATGATCTGCAGCTTCTGATACACTTTAGTGGCTGGATCTAGGCTTTATCAAACTCAAATTTGATGACTTTTTTTTTTATATAATTTGGTTCTTTTTGTCAAGACAACCACTTGAAATCAGAGCTCTGAATGATATTAAATTTGAATATATAGTGTTTTTTTAGGAAAAAAAATGTCTCGATATTAATGTCAAATAATAAAAATTTGTCAATGGCAATATATAGATAAATGCATAAGAATTGTCTGATACGTATGTAAATTTTCATTATTTTTTTATTTGAATTGCGTTTACTGCTCTATTAATGACAATTTAAGAACATCTTAACTCATTTAAAATCATTAATTGCTTTCAAAAAAGCATGATCAAACTTAAATGTGCTGAACCCAGTTCTAATTATTCGCTAGCATCCAACTCTAAATTCAAAGTCTTAGCAGTTTAGATTGTCAATATTACTAAAAATTTTCCACTTCCCATAGTTTTTATTGTATTTTTCTTCAGCTTTGGAGTCTTATTATTGGCCGGTTTGGTTTTTGAGGTTCATCGGAACTCTGTCAACATTGCAGGTGCTGTCAAACATATAATGATGCTGCAAATTGATTTCTTCTCGCTAAATTAGAGATATTTGTGGTAGCACGGTAAGGCCAAAGATCATTCAACAAAAGATTAGTGTCATAAGACAAAGAGTGCACTATCGGAACACCAAAAGATTTTTCTGACCAAGTACTACGTCCTTTAGCTGGTGTTGAAGGCTGATCAAGTGAGAGCCGTCCAAATCAAAGCACGTTTAGCCAAATAGAGGCGCTAATCGGTCTCTCGTCATGACCTTACTCAAGGGAAGGACATAAGATCGCCAGCTATCACAACAAACATCCTTCAGAGTCTTCATCCTAGGCCAAGAACTGCCTAAACACATGCAGTAGAACGTTCTAAAGGATCCCTCTTGTCAGAGAATAGGGCTACCTATTGGATTATAGTAGCATACACTCTACCTGATAGTCTAGTTATACCCCATTGACAGGAGTTCCTCATCTAGGAATCCACAGTCAACTGCCAAACCAGAGCGACCAACCGGAGGACCTCGCCGATTGAGCCAACTTCAGCCAACCCAAAGCCCAACTAAAGACCTACTGGCCACCTTGATTCTCAACGGTTGGCGAGTAAGTCGCGCCAAACTAAGATCTATTGACAGTAGAGTCATATATTTACACTACAAGCCTCATTAAAGTAGGGGTAGGCATCTAGTTCTCTATACTAACCCCATTCTCTATAAATAGAGGAAAAATTTTATGAATAAATCTTCTATATTTATTGTTAGATATATATTAAAAAGAAAATCGGTATTTGGCAGAGACCCAAACACACACACACACAAACACACACACACACACACACACACATATAAACCCAACGTAGCCCTCAACCATTAGGGATTTGTAGATAACCTAATTAAGATAATATAATATACATCACATCATAGACGAGCCCCTTTTACAAAACAATTTATTATAGAACTGCATAACCAAAATAAATAAGTGATCAACTTCTATCTTTTTATTTTTATTTTATTTTTATTTGTGGTACATTTACATACATACAACCAATTTTTTATGTATTTATATATGTACCACATAAATTTCATTTTTTACATTTATGCTACTCAAATCTTTTATTTACATAAAAATATCATTATTTTACTTTTTAAAATGTTAAATAAAAGTTTTTATGCATTGACAAGATGCATATATATGTAAAATTTGAACTTTAGATGTTAGATATAAAAATTGAGTGGTATGCATGTAAATCTTTTTTTTTTCTTCGTGTAAAAATAATAATAATAATAAAGCATGCATGCATAACAGTTGAAAAACTTTTCTGCAATTTTCATTTATAGAAATAAAGCTAAAAATCACAAATTTAATAATTTGCATGTCAAGTATCAGAGATGAGGAAGGCAAAATCAGCCATAACTAAATTTATAAAATTATTTAATAATAAATTGCACATAAAATCAATAAAAAAATATAAATATATTGAAATTAATGCATGTGGTAAGAACTTCATTAGTTGCAAGTCTATTGCTAAACTATAGAGTCCTGAAACTGCAGGTCCTTAATTCTTCTTCTATTCTCATTTGTCAGACAGAAATATGAACAGTTTTCTGAAAGGCTGCTAACTTCATATTGGTCCCCAGAATTCCTGCAAGATTAAAACAAGTAATTTTACAAGTACCATTAGAATGATAAAGTTTCAAGAAGAGACGAGGGATGATTGCATACAAACCACCGCAGAAATAATGATACTTACAAATTAGCTATATCGGTAATCTTTTTGAACTATCGAACTGATGTGCTTACGCGTGCCACGATCAAACTATTGAGAATTTGATAAAATTCAAAGATATGAGTCGGGGTTTTACCATGAATTTTGATATTTGAGTGAGAATTTATAGAAGTGATGAAAGAGAGTGATTAATTTGTAAATAGCAAGTTTCGGGTGGTTTGTATGTAAGTGCCTCATTGTATTAAATGAATTAGACCTTAATTTATGAGGAAATTAAAAATTGTCGCATTTTGCTGAAAATATTTAGATAAAAAGTTTCTAAATTTGCAGATGATTCATCACATCCCTTACCTCCTGGCAGTTCTAACATAATGTACATAATAGTGCGGTTTGTGTTGGTTTTGGTCTGAGTGAGTCACAAAATATAATGCGAAATTATTCCAAAGAGAATTGGATTGGAAGAAAAAGCACGGCAAATTCAAACAGTCAAATGCATAGCATATTGGTGGGAAAAAAAGTGAAGAATTTAGACAGTCCCATAAAACAAAAAGAGGCATTTACATACCTACCACACAATTCTTAAGTATTTACATATCTAAAACCTAAACTTTCGTATTTGCATGCATACCACTCACATTTTTAACATCAACGTCCAAAATATCACAATCACCGGCTTTTTAAAAGCAAAATACACTTTCCATGCATAGATTTATGATAAAAAGGACTTATGTGTAAATATCAACCTTTAGGTGTTAGATATATAAATACATTAGATTTGTTAAAAAAAAAAAACCATTAGCAGACTGAAAACTCAGTTTGGATGAATTCTATTCCTTATCTCTCCTTCAAACAATTTGTAGATACATAATTCATAGACCGAAGCATCCAGATGGAGAAATAGAAAACCAATTCATGCCAAGTGATGTCAGATTAAGTGAAAAGCTCTAATTGAAAACCAAGTTAACAAATAGAAGCCCATCTCAACCATCAAAGGGTTATTAGATAAGAGATAAATTAATATGCGCAAATTACATTAATAATGTTACGTGCAAATCACTAAATCATACAACTGTGCGCTCCATTTTTTCGTAGTACGTAGTTGTTATGTACTCGACTGGAGTACATAGCTATATACTCAATACATGGCGAGTAAATAGCTGCGCATTTCTGCCTTTGACGTATAAATCTATGTACATTATTTGCACATAATAATTTCTCCTACAAGAAACTGCTGACGCTGAGAAGCATCATCGGAATATTGGCCTCAATAGGTTCTGGATTTTCCATATTCAGAATATCATCCACAGTAATGAATCTTCAAGGTATACATGGATCTCATAGATAACCCAAACATGAAGATTTTTAACTCATCCACAAGAAATAATATGTACTATCAACAACAGATGATGTTGGAAGAGAATGCAAGAACAAACAAAGAAAATTTAACATAAACTAGCAAACATGAATAAATCAAGGGAAATGTATTTTATACATTGAGCACCTAAAACTTTATTGCGTTTAAAATAATATAAAAATATGAATATTAATGTAAAACTCCCTGCAGTTTGTTATTTTGATGAAAATAACAGAAGTACCGAAATTTTGCAAATGAGAAAAAGTTTATCCTGGTTTGCAGATAAAGGCAAATAACCTTGGCTTATGTGTTAGGGCTTCTTGAAACCCTAATAGTACTACTAGGTTTTCTCTTAAACCAGGGAAGCAGTTAGGATTTATCATGAAAATTTGTATAATGTCATGGCAAGTTTTCATAACAAATCATAATATGAATATTAACTTTTCCTATCAAATGCTAGTAGTGCTGACAGATTTTAAACAGCCACAAGGCTAGATCAGTTGTCACTGTTCATAAATCTTAAATTACTATCTATTGTTTACAATTACATTATAAAAGACACACTTTGCACAATTTGTAAATGGAACAAGCCTCAAAAACTAGGATTATGTGATTTTAAAAATGTTATTTATAAATTTTAATATATTAGAAAAGAAATAAAATGGTTCCCTGACAATTGTGGGAGATCATATTAGTCGCAAACTGCGTAAGTAGTCTGATTTAAATCCACAGTTAAAAGTAATGAAAATTAAAGTAAAAATTAACACGAGATGTTGAAAATATCATTCTTTTTCAAGAATTAAAATAAATAAAAAGCAAGTAGTTTTAACTCAAGGACATTTACATGCATACCACCCAATTCCTATGTATTTACATATCTAACACCTAAACTTCTTACATTTATATCACCCAAATCTTTCACAGAATATCAAAAATGCCATTATTTTAATTTACACCTTTTGCGGCATAGGTAAGGTGGCATATATGCAAAAACTGAACTTTAGGTGTTAGATATATAAATACATAGGATTGAGTTGTATGTATGTAAATCTTCCTTAATTTAACTGCAAACTCTAAGATAAAATCCAGGCCTATACCAAAAAAACTAGCTTTAGTCAGCCCAAAGATGAGTTTATTCGATATAAATAGTTAAATACTTTTCACTGAATAATGAAATTTTTAAATGTTTCTAGAAGCCTGTCCACCCTCCCAGCCATCCCAAAAATTGCCACTTGGTTCGTTCTCACAATTTATAGAATGATATTTCATTCGTCTTAAGATAAATTCAATTCTAACAAGCATACTTGAATAAAACATGGAATACATAATTTCAAAACTTATGTATAAATTGAAGTTGAACTTGTACAATTTGAATTTAAACCAAAGACCACATAAGAAAATTAATGTAGATGTTAGGCTGACAATCACTTATAAACTTTATGTCAAAAAATGAATCCTAATATGATTACATGTTAAGATAGATGGAAGAAGTACCACCTATTGATGATATGCTAATAAAAAATAGACTTGGGTTATTTGAGTCGATATGATGAAGGACGAAAGCAGTGCCCATAAAAGTAAGACATGATTAGGAATGAAAAAAATTATTTAAAAAAGTAATATGGTTAAAAGTTTATATAGTACAGAATTAAAGCCTCATGCATCAATTAATATGAATGAATGAAAAATGAGTAATCCTGTAAACTCAATAGCCTTATACATTTAAAAAAATTTCTCAAAATTTTTTATCCGTGCTTAGGACCTGACATTGACATTTTTTTTTATTAGAATCTATTAATATAAAAGATAAAATATAAAACGATGAATATACTTACAACTTGTAATTTCGTATATTCATATTAAGAAAGTGTTGAATGATTACATTATTATCGATGTTATCCAATTATTTTTTCTCAATATAAGTTGTTATCATTCATCCACCAATCTCCAATTCTATTTTGTAGTTGATTTTTATGGTAGTCATAACAGACAAAAATCTTTCAACATTTGTTGTACTTTTAGCTAAAACTAATTTTAGCTTCAGCAGCCTGAAAATAAGAGGATATATTATAGTTTTTTTGCACTAAAATATTTGTTCTGCTAAACTTCTTCAAATGCATATTCATAATGTAAGTTTCGAATTGATTATCAGAAAATAATAAATATATTGAAGTAAAATCAGTTAAATATAAATGCACCACTTTGATTGTGTTTTTATTAAATGCATTGAATGAATTAGATGGATATAAAATTGTGCTTTTATTAAATAAAATATATGAAAATATATTTATTATTTTCATTGAATAAAAACACAATATATTTATTATTTTCATTGAATATATTTATTATTTGCATTGAATAAAAACACAATATATGAAAATATATTGCGTTTTTATTAAATGCATTGGATGAATTAGATGGATATAAACATATGATAAACCAAATTATTTTTATATTTGTCTCTATAAAATATTTATTTAGCTCTTAATGCTGCGTATCAATGACTGTGTAGAATATTTCAACATGAAAATGATATATATTTGTCATGAGTTCAACTTTACAACAAGGGTGTCTATGACCAACTCATTTATCATTCATAGGAAATAATTATTTTTTGTTTATCATCAAATAAATGTATTTCGTCAATAAAATATTCTCACTTGTTATCTCTCATATTTTGTAATTTAATATTTTATGTTTGAACCAAAGACATCATTTACAATATCTTAATTTTTACTCAGTGATGTTTATGATGGTTAAAAAATGATTCTATAAATATCTTTTATCAAATGAATGCTAAAAGAAAACTTAAATGTTTGGATTTTTTCTCATAATGACTTTTTCTTTTTGTTTTTGTTCAGAACTTATATTAATTATTAAGAAATATATTATGATCAATTTCACAAATGACTCATAATATAGACTCCATCGTGTATCCCTTGCCAGTTTAAGAATAATCACTAGAATTAATCATTTTCTTATGATAATTTCATTTTATAATGCTCTTGAGGCCTTTTCTCATTTTTTTGCTAAGTTGATCATGATGTTTTATTGAGTCACCACTAAAATTCATCAAATCTGAAGTCGTATTAAATAATAGAGCAATTTTAACAAGACATTTAGCAATAAACACCAAAATTAATTAAAATTGATTTGATGTAAAAAATAGTAAATATAATGAGCAGACATAGTTTCGTCCAAGAATAAAATTTTAAACTTATTAAATTCTCCTATCATATTATTTATTTTATCATAACCTTGACCGCTCATTTTTAAAATATTTAAGCAATAAGCTGATAAAAAATAGTGAATTGTTATTTTAGGAAAACAAGCTCAGAAATATGTGTAATATAAAAAAATCACTCAACAAATTGACATCACGTATTCACATAGCACAACCCGTTGATCATTTAATTTGTACAGATATATCAAGGAAATCATCAACTAAAATTGAAAACAAATCACCTCAAATTTTCTTAACATAAAACATGTTATTATAATTGATGCAGATCTAATAATGCTTTTGTGCATTTTAGGAATATTAATTTTAAATTTTTTTGGAATATTTTTAGTTCCATATTATCTATATTCACGTTATGTTCAGTTAAAAATTATGAAAGAAAATTACCTAAAATTTTAAATTTATCGGGCTCATTATGCCTTCGAAAAATCAATTAGAATCATAGAAAAAATTTCACACAATTAATTGAAGCACTTAAACGAGTATAATATTCAT